CTCCTCTTTGACAGGTGATTCTTATTAATACACAGGTGTTCTGTATTACCTATAACTCTAGAATATACCAAGTAGGCAGCTGTTACCTGCCTGCCACTAATTACAAACTAAAAGGTATCCTCCTCGAAGGAGCCATGGGGGCAGGGTAAACTTAATGTATCTCAACATTGATTGGACCAGGTGTGCTGTTTGCATAGCACACGAAGAAGCTGGCCACCTCACCCTAATTTTTTATTATATAAATGGGTTCTCTACCTGGCTGACACCATGTTGCCTGCTTCTTTACTGTACATGTGGTTGACAAAAGGGAAGATGGAGCCTCCGTGTTGAATATACCTGGAGCCTTTTCCTATGGGCACAGCTGCCAGCATTCACCTGTGCAAGCTTTTAGCTTGCTTTCTGTTTGCAGCTTGATTTTTCAGGTTGCTCTTTGTTAGAAACATTTTGGGGCCACTTTGCATTAAAAGGGAAACCTTGTCAAGGACTTTCTTTTCCTCACTAACTGCCTAAATAATTTTTTTCTAGTTCCTGTATCATTTTCTCTCTCTCTATCTTTCAAATTTTCCTTGCTTAATGGGGGCAGATGAAGGAATAAAGCAAAATCTTTTAGAGATGCGATGTATCTGAGTTTTCTTTTTAATTTCTATGCAGATTTGGAGAAAATTACCTAATTTATTTATTTATTTCTATTTTTTGAGACGAGTTTCACTTTTGTTGCCCAGGCTGGAGTGCAATGGCGCTATCTCTGCTCACTGCAACCTCTGCCTCCTGGGTTCAAGTGATTCACCTGCCTCAGCCTCCTGAGCAGCTGGGATTATAAGCCCCCCACCACCATGCCCAGCTAATTTTTGTCTTTTTACTAGAGATGGGGTTTCTCCATGTTGGCCAGGTTGGTCTCAAGTTCCTGACCTCAGGTGATCCACCCTCCTTGGACTCCCAAAGTGCTAGAATCCTGTGAGCTAAGGCACCCAGCCAAATTACCTATTTTAAAGAAAACTATTGAGAACCTTAGAGTTTTAAAATTTAACCCCTGCCCCGCCATTTCTGTCAAGATATACGTGAGGACAGGAGGGGAGCTATAGCAAGAAAGTTCATCCTCTCACTTGCACCATGGGGTGTACACCATTCTTTTCTGAAACACAGAGAACTGGACTGAAAGATACAGTCACATATTTTTCAAATTAACTTTTCCATGGTGACACTAAATGAATATGATAGAATTATAAGAGGAAAAAAGCAATTCTGAACTGTTGACCCTGTCTTCAGAGAAAACGAAGTCATTTTTACTCATTTGTTTTATATGCTTAAATCATATGGATCAAATAAAATCTTAGGTACAAAGGGTGAAAATGCTTGTCAGAAGCCTTCATAAGAATAAATTCCTATTCAATAAAAATTTATGATGTTGTGACTGTTCCAGATTTTTAAGAGGATTTTGGGTTATTATTCATACCTCCAGTGGGCCTATGCAGACTTTGTTATTAATCCTTCAACAGCAGGAAAATAAAAGCAGTAGAAGTGTTAAATGTATAGAAAAATTATCTTTCACAAATTATGAAGTGTATTCCAGTGAATAGCATTATGATATCATCTGCCAAAAGAAAAGCTATAAAGTTAGATTTTCTTGGAGTGATTTTTCTAAAACAGTCGTGAATTTGATGTTTAAATGTTTTGAGTTTCTGATTTCCATTTCTTTAGAATGCAGTGGCAATGACAGATTATTCCTTCACCACCTATTAAAATGTAAAGTCAGTCTGTAGTCTCTAAATTTGGTTTCTGTTGAATCCATGACCAAACTAGAGTGAAAGGTACATTACCACTTTGATTTCTGTTCAAGAAAGAAATATATGCAGTATTATAAAGAAAAATCAAAGCAGGCTGCTGGATAGTATGTCTAATCTGTGACTTTCTTGGTTTGCTGACAACAGAGATGAATATTTCACTCTGATTTTTTTAAAAAGCTGTTGAAGTTGCACTGGCTTTTACTTCTATGATGATAACTTTTCCAAAAGAGTCTAGACAAATGCAAAATCTTCTGGAGTCACGAAAAGTAAAACATTGTTGTTAAAATGTCTAATTATCTGAGCACCAGTGCCCTTAAGTGCCGTTAAGTTATCATTATGGAATCTGTAAACAATAACGCCAAATAAATAGGGGATTTGTTCCATACCACTGAAACTGCATATGGATATGAAACCGCATATGGGTAAAGAAGGCTGGGAAAAGATGCCATGTTTTAAAAATAATACAGCTGGGCATGGTGGCTCATGCCTGTAATCCCAGCACTTTAAGGGGCTGAGGTGGGCAGATAAGTTGAGGTCAGGAGTTTGAGACCAGCCTGGCCAACATGGTGAAACCCCTCTCTACTAAAAATATAAAAATTAGCCAGGTATGGTGGTGCACACCTATAATCCTAGCTACTGGGGAGGCCAAGACAGGAGAATCACTTTAACCTGGGAGGCAGAGATTGCAGTGAGGCAAGATCACACCACTGCACTCTAGCCTGTGCGACAGAGCAAGACTCCCTCTTAAAATAGAGTTGTACACTATTGTCATGAAAACTGACACAAGTCTTTTGGGCATTTATAATTTTTAGATTATTTTTTGATAGAGATATAGATTATATCTAATGTTTGAAGGTAGGTGAGGTTTATGGGTCTCCTCCACACCCCCATCCCCTCTACTAGGTAATATGTTACAACAAAAGCCCATACTGTTATATTAACAGATATTTATTAGAATACTGGCCTGAGAAAGCCTTGCAACCTGTAAATTAGATAAAGTTCTAGCTCTTTTTCGTTGGCTGCTTCAGAAGCACCATGCAGGAAAGATTCACTCAAGGCAATGATAATGACAATAATCTAGTGGCAGGATTTGGCTGTCCTTGTTTGAGTAAGGACAAAAATCATCCGTGAGAGGAAAAAATGAACTTCTCTTGTGTTAGGCCATTAGTTTTGGGTTTACTTGTTATAGGCGTTAGCATACTCTGACTAATACATTACTTTTACAGAACAGGGTCAGCATTGCTCACGCTTTCTTCATTTTCTAGAGTGGGAAGGAAGCCATTAGAGCTTTATAAATTATATACATAAAGAAATTGGCCAAGTATGAAAGAATGTGTGTATATATGTATAATAAATATTACTGTGTGTTGCCTAAAATGTATACATACATATTTTCTTTTAGGAGTAGCCTGACTCATAGATGGCATTGGTGGAAGCATTCCAGAAGATTTATGTGACATTTACTAGGTTTAAGAATTATCTAGAAGAGGGCCTGGCATGGTGGCTCACACCTGTAATCCCAAAACTTTGGGACGCTGAGGTGGGAGGATTTCTGGAGCTCAGAGTTCGAGACCAGCCTGGGCAACATGGCAAGACCCTCTCTTAAAAAATGAAACAAAAAACCCCCAGAATTATCTCGAAGAAGGGCTGCATTGAAAAGGCTGAGTCCTAAAAGACTTCTGAATTTCTTTTTTATTTTATTTTTTTTGAGATGGAGTCTTACTCTGTCACCCAGGCTGGAGTGCAGGGGTGCCCTCTTGGCTTACTGCACCTCTGCTTCTCATGTTCAAGAGATTCTCTTGCCTCAGCCTCCCATGTAGCTGGGATTACAGGTACATGCCACCATGTCTAGCTAATTTTGTGTGTGTGTGTTTTTAGTAGAGACAGGATTTTACCATGTTAGCTAGGCTGGCCTCTAACTTCTGAGCTCAAGTGATCTGCCTGCCTCGGCCTCCCAAAATGCTGGGATTACAGGGATGAGCCACTGTGCCCAGCCAAGACTCTGAGTTTCTGATTTTGTTTTTGCCGTGTAATCTTCACTTCTTCCTTGAGTACCAGGAAAGTATTCTTAGTTGGATATAAACAAACACTTTATCTTACCTCTCCTCTATTGTCCCGTTAAACAACTTATTTACTTTCATTAAAATTGAAGAATTAAAATTTACCAGAGGGAAGAAGTAAAAAACTGTATAAAAGCAGTAGAACAACCAGCCTTTGTCAGCTATACTTAAACTGACTTAATGCTATCATTTTATCTCTAAAACCCTTTTATTAACATTTTTCTCTCAGAAGATACTTAAGCTATACTGTATTCTGATTCTTCATAGTAATGCACTGAATTTGATCAAAATCCATTAATAGGGTGTTGGAGTGGCTAGCAGGAAATCAGAGAGACAGATACATTTGAAGTACAAGGGAATCCAGATTAAATTAAAATTACACTTTGTTTTCCAGTATCTTAATAATTGTATTTGTGTCTTTGAGTGTAATTAGAGTAGAGACTGCACTGGGCAAGCCTTGCCCATTTCTGTTGGTAGATGTGGGAAGCAGTTTCTCACATGGCTCCCAAATAATGATCCCATCTCCTGGTACCCATGCCTTTGTGTAATCTTCTCTTGAGTGTGGGTTGGCCCAGTGACATGCTTCTAGTAGAATGTGGAAATAGTTATGGGCTGTCATTTCTGAGATTCAAAGATGGAAGACAAAAAAGATTCTGTTTTCCATCTTGCTCACCCTCTCTCTCTTTTGCACTTGCTTTGATGAGAACAAGATGCTCTGTTGTGAGCTTCCCTATGGAGACATCCAAGTGTGAAAACACTGAGGGAGGCCTCTAGACAACAACCTATGAGGGACTGAACCCTGCCAAAAGCCATATGAGTGAATGTGGAAGCAGATCCTTCCCCAGTCAAGCCTTTAGATGATGGCAGCCCAGCTGATGCCTTGATTGTAGCCTTGTGAGATGCCTTGAGCCTGAGACCCCAGCAAAGTTGTGCCAAGATTCCTGATCCAGTGAGACAGTTACTAAATGTTTGTTGATTTGAGCTGCTGTATTTCAGAGTAATTTGTTAAGCAACAATTGATAACTGATACAGCAGACGAAATTATAGATGGGAAGATGAAGATTATAAGGCTAGTAAAGCCATATACATCTAGTTAAATTAAGGCTGGGCTATTAAATATAAATGAAAATGCTCTTTCTTGAAATTGTTTTTGTAGATCACTGCTACATTAAGGAGCATGTGGTGGCTATTGGGAGCATGATTAAACAGTGGATAACTTGATGGTCCTGAAGTCAGGAAGAAGTCTGGGCCAGGACATCGGCAATATACAGGTGCGTTTTTGTTGCCTATTTGTTGTTTAATTCTTTGACTGTAAGTGATATTGTCTAGGCCAAATCATAACCTCCTAAATTAATTTATCATTTATGTCTCTGAAGATAAATTCTGGTAACAAATACGTGTGTAAAGATAAATTCGTCTTTTTTTTTTTTTTTTAGTTTCTCAGTTGTTTTTTAATGTAGATAAATCTTTTTTATTGTACTTTAGGTTCTTGGGTACATGTGCAGATCATGCAGGATTGTTGCATAGGTACATACATGGCAAGGCGTTTTGCTGCCTCCACCGCCCCCCTGTCATCTATATCTGGCATTTTTCCCCATATTATCCCTTCCCAACCTCCCCAACCCCTGCTGTCCCTCCCTTAGCCCCCACAACGGACCCAAGTGTGTGATGCTCCCCTCCTTGTGCCTACGTGTTCTCATTGTTCAACACCCACCTATGAGTGAGAACATGGTATTTGGTTTTCTGTTCTTGTATCAGTTTGCTGAGAATGATGGTTTCCAGATTCATCCATGTCCCTACAAAACATGAACTCATCCTTTTTTGTGGCTGTGTAGTATTCCATGATGTATATGTGCCACATTTTCTTTGTCTAGTCTATCACTAATGGGCATTTGGGTTGGTTCCAGATCTTTGCTATTGTAAACAGTGCCGTAGTGAACATACATGTGCATGTGTCTTTATAATAGAATGATTTATAATCCTTTGGTATATACCCAGTAATGGGATTTCTGGATCAAATGGTATTTATAGTTCTAGATCCTTGAGGAATTGCCACACTGTCGTCCACAGTGGTAGAACTAATTTACACTCCCATCAACAGTGTAAAAGTGTTCTTTTTTCTCCACATCCTCTCCAGCATCTGTCGCCTCCTGATTTTTTTAATCATTACCATTCTAACTGGCATAAGATGGTATCTCAATGTAGTTTTGATTTGTATTTCTCTGATGACAAGTGATGATGAACATTTTTTCATATGTTTGTTGGCCTCATAAATGTCTACTTTTGAAAAGTGTTCGTCTCTTTCTCCCACTTTTGAATGGGTTTGTTCTTTTCTTGTAAATCTGCTTTAGTTCTTTGTAGATTCTGGATATTACACCTTTGTCAGATGGGTAGATTGCAAAAATTTTTTCCCATTCTGTTGATTGCTGGTTCACTGTAACGATTGTTTCTTTTGCTGTGCAGAAAGTCTTAAATTTAATTAGATCCCGTTTGTCTATTTTGGCTTTTGTTGCCATTGCTTTTGGTGTTTTAGTCATGAAGTCCTTGCCTATGCCTATGTCCTGAATGGTTTTGTCGAGGTTTTCTTCTAGGATTTTTATGGTGTTAGGTTTTATGTTTAAATCTTTATAATTGACCATACTGTTAAACTAGACAGGAAATATTAGGTTTTATCATCTTTTCCTGTGAAAGCAATATGTGGAAAGACTGAGCTTTCATTTAAACATTTAACTTATGGCTTTTGGCAGCAACAACAAAGGAGAGACTTTGTTGTTGAGAATGACTCAGATGTATGGATGTTGTTTTATTTCAGCAAGTATTAGATGTAAGATTTAAAGAATCATGTTTTATTCCCCAGAAGTGTAATAATACCTCTCCTAGTGTAAGTCAGATGGTTACTAACTTCAGATCCATGTCTGCTATATTACCTTGCATAGCTCCTGGATATTTTTGACTGAATAATATGTTAAGTTCTGTAGAATTATAATCCTGACTTATGCAATCTAGTAATCTGCTCAACCTTATTCATAAAATGGACAACCACATTCAGTTGTACAATCAGTGCAGCACAAGTAATTAAAAAGTTTGTGCCATTAAATAATTGTTTTTATGAACCTCTATGTAATAAGCAGGATAAGATTAGTATCCCAATCACTACATTGTTGGCCATTTAAGGTATTCTAATGACCAGGAAACAGTGCTGAATCTAAGTGGAACCATTGTAAAACTGCTCCAAAGGAAAAAAAGAGAACATGCTGTGAGATCTTAATCACTCAGCAAAAAGCGATTTCCTCTGGTTGGCCTTGACTAACTGTGGATTTAATTCCATTCAGTTTTGTAGGAAAAGCCCAGCCCCCTGACTTCATAAAATAACCTATTGGAATATGGCTGTCAGGATCCAAAGATATCCAGACTCTTCCTTCGGTCTTTTAAAGTTGGTGCAACAGCAATACCTATGTTGTCTCTTCGGATCTGAGCTGAACGATCGCAAGTTAGTAGTTCACTTTTAGTAAAACAAGTAACTTTTGCCAATAGAAATCTTACATTCTTACTACTTGCTAGAAATTAGAGCTAGTAATGTATTTCGGTTTGAGGGAAAATACAGTAGAATATTCGTAGTAGCATAGAACTTTTGCAGCATTACTAAGCCCATGTCTCAAGTACATGCCAGGGTAAAATACAGCATTTCCCAAGGACACACACCTACTCTGTGTCCTCACTGGTATCATATCTGGAAATCTAGACTACATCTGGCTCCGAATGAACTTGTTACAAAGTCCATGGCTTCTGTGACTGACAAACTGTGGGATTTCTCTGTTTGCCTTTGAGAGATGGTCAGTGACAGACTTGATGAGATGATCAGGAGGATGTGAACATGTGTAGGAAATGAGAGTGAAGAGGTCCAGCTGCATATCTTTGTTCTCAGTATTCTGCTTTCTTGGAGACCTATGCTTTCTAAAAACATTCTAAGGGAAGTAGTAGCATGTGGAAATGACGTAGAACTAGGAGTCAGACAGATGGAGCTCAAATCCAGGATTTATCAATTACTAGCTATCTGACCTTTGGCAAATTACCACATGTCCACAGATCTTATTTTTCAGTTTGTAAAAGGGAAATAATGACACATACCTCCTAGGATGGTTTTAAGATTCTAATTTTGTATTTGGCACAGCACATGGTGTATATTAGACATGCAATGAATGTTAGTTTTTACATAGAATAGCTCACCTCATGAAATTGCTGACCATGCCCAGCTCACAGAAATAATTAGTAACTAATATTTATGTGGTACTTTCCCAGTTATAGTATGCTTTCAACTCCACTAACTCGCTTGACCCAGCAAGGGAGAGGGATTAGAGTCATTGAGAAATGTGGCAGAGTTAAAATGAAAAGTGGTAGAGCTGGGACTAGAAAGCACTCCAAATTCTGTATTTTTACCGCAATAAAGCACTGCCTCTCAGAAATACATTTTTCCTATGAACTCCTACAAAATACTGCTTTTACTATTCATTTGTCACTTATTACTCATTGTCTTAAATAGCGATTTCTTTTTATGTTCTGTTTCCTCAGTGAAGTAGGAGTGGGCACCAAGCTTCACGAATCTCTTTGGTTAAGGTGAAGTGGTTGGGCGTTGTGGCTCATGCTTGTAATCCCAATAATGACCTAGCTGAGGAAACACTCAATACATTGGATTTATATATTAGTGGGGACTCTTGGTTGTAAACAACAGAAATAGATGATTTTGGCTAATCTGAGAAAGAAGGAATCTATTGCAAGAGTCTTACAGGCTCACATAATTTATAGGAAGGTGAGGAACTAAGCTGGAAACTGGTGTCTCCAAGGCTGCTTGCGAGATAAAAGCACATTGGATTTATTACAGGGAAAGTACAGACAGGATTCTACTACTTGGAAAAAAATCAACTGTTCCATTTTTAATTTCTATGTCACTCCACTCAAGAATCACATTTCCAGGAGGGAATGTTTGAATGGTGCGTTTTGGGGCATGGGTCTCTCCTTTGTCTAGTGGGAGCTGGGAGTCTGACTATATGCCTACTGGACCATGTCCAGTGGGTATAGAATTAGGTTTTCAAGATGAAATTTAGATGTGTTTAGGAAGGAGAACTAGGTGCTGGGAAGCCACCCTTTGGCCTTCAAAAACAATCAATCCTCTACAATTGATTAATTAAATAATTTAAAAATGATTTGTTAATCATGTTCAATTTTGCATGGATTCTGGAATATGGAGTGTGGATAGTGAATGACTCAGGTCTATAACACTTTATTTAAAAATGTTCAAGGATGTGAGGTACTAGATTGTTAGTCTTCATTTTCCCAGATCTTGAACCATACGAATGTGCTTGGACAAGGCTAAAAGCAACATTACATTTAATTTGGTTGAAAATAGACTGTTATTTCAGATAATGGAGATAATTTTCAATCTTAACTCCACCAGTTATCACATTGATTTACTCTGCCAATAATCACAATAACTACAATTTATTAAGCAAATGCTATAGTCCAAGCAGTGAGCCAGGTGTTTTTTTTTTTTGAGACGGAGTTTCGTTCTTGTTACCCAGGCTGGAGTGCAATGGCGCGATCTCGGCTCACCGCAACTTCCACCTCCTGGGTTCAGGCAATTCTCCTGCCTCAGCCTCCTGAGTAGCTGGGATTACAGGCACGCGCCACCATGCCCAGCTAATTTTTTGTATTTTTAGTAGAGACGGGGTTTCACCATATTGACCAGGATGGTCTCGATCTCTTGACCTTGTGATCCACCCACCTCGGCCTCCCAAAGCGCTGGGATTACAGGCTTGAGCCACCGTGCCCAGCCTGAGCCAGGTGTTTTATATTTGTTTCCTTATATAATACCTAATTGGTAGGTACTGATAGTTTTCATTTTACAAATGAGAAAAGAGACAAAACAGGATGAAGGAATGTGTGTTAGGACACTCAGAAATTAAGCAGTTCAGATTCAAACTCAGGCTAGGAATCTCAGCCTCTTCTTACTAAATCATTCTATGTCTCTATATTAGGGACTTTTATATTATAACTTAATTATGAATTGGAAAAATATTGTGAAGTGGCTGGGTGTTGTGCTTCATGCCTGTAATCCCAATACTTTGGGAAGCTGAGGCAGGAGGATCACTTGCATCCAGGAGTTTGAGACCAGCCTGGGCAACATAATGAGACCCCGTCTCTACAAAAAGCAAAAATTAGCCGGGTATGGTGACACATGCTTGTAATCCCAGCTACTTAGGATGCTGAGGAACCT